CAATTCAAAAGTAAGTGGAAAGTAAGTATTAAGTAAGCTTTCGTGACACGAGTATGTCGATAAACGTTACCGGTACGTTCTTTGCTATGGGCTCTTAACAATCGACCCAATTCTATGTGAAATGCTGTACAAACATCGTTTATACTTTCGTCCTAGAAAAGATCAAGGCCACCTACCTTCCTAGTAAACCCTGGCGCAACTTTTTTACTCAATGACTTCTTTTGTTTACAACTTCTTCTTCTTTTTCTTCTTTTTGTTTTTGTTTCTTTGTTTTGACTAACTGGATAAATCTAGGATTTCGATAAAAACTTTTAAAATAACTTTGAAAAAATCTATTATCTATAGTACAATTTATGATAGACAATTAATTCATTCTATCAGAATTTATAATGTATATTATGATAGTATGCAATATAAATTGGTCGCTATTGCGCATACTGATATTTAATTATAAATTAATTAAAAAACTGTCAGTATTTTAAATAAATGGCCAATGATTGTAATAAAATATAAGCATGTATCGTTCATGCATCGATAAATAATACTGAATTTTACCCCTATAAAGAATATCGATCATTCATTTAAAATATTGATAATTTATACTCAAAAATAATATTCGTTTATAATTAATAAAATTGAATTTACACAAATTTCTTCTAAAAAAATATATAGAAATGTGTATGATATTTATAATAATTATCTCACATATATATTTGAAGATAATACCCTGTAGGGGGATAAGAATAAAGATATATTCCCTTTAAACTAACTAAACATGGTATCTCTCATCATAGGACACTGCCCGTATCGAAAATCCCTGTGAAACGTTATCAACTATATCCCATCGTTGAACACATCGTCGCTATACCCGACGAGAGTCGCTACCTTATCGCATAATCGTAAATCACCAACACTTCCCAGTATTATCCCGTAGAAAAGTTTCGCAAACGTATTCCCGGAATTTATCGTTCTTTCCTTTTTCGTACGACAATCGCGTGGAATTCGAAACGGACGCACTATTCTTAGGATGTAGAATTTCACGACGTCTCCAATATTCTCGAAGAATTTTACTTTGACAGTTTAAGTGAAAAACTATACGATATCCGTGGGCTACCTTTTATAGATCACGTCACAAGAATTTTTTCCACCAAAGAAGATCGATCTACGTACGAGTGTCCCTTGTATCGAGATTGCATCTACTCTTTGATTTTTCTTCTTTCTTATCTCATTTAATACAACGAAACAACGACGAATACTGTTACAATAATAATATTTTTTTTAAATAGATTAAAAGAAATAAAAATATATAGAAAATAATAATTTATCACGCTTTATACATAATATCTTTTAACCTTTTTCGTAGATGTACAATCAGACTAAATACAAAATTTTTCTAACCACGATTGATAGATAGAAAAAAAGAGAAGAAGAAAATGGATGAAGTCGAGTTTGGTTTAATGTGTATATGTGTGTAAAAGGTAAAGGGAAGAAAAAATGGAAAAATAATTAGTCAGAGTTTAGTCGAAGGCAGATGCTTCTGGACTGTATGAAAAATTAACGATATCCTTCATCGTTTTCTCGTTTTTTTTTTCACCGGTCGTTTGCAAAAGCTCTCGGTTTCTACCCTTTCCAAAGTACCCACACTATACTAGTGGTTCCGTCCGTTTACTCTTTAGTTTTTTCTTTTAACAAAGCGCGTTTCCCTTCATTGCCGCGCCCACCTTCGAACGATCTCGCGTGTCTCAACGAAATTTAGCCACACCACGATCCCCGATAGGCTCTATAATTATCCCGTTTTATCTTCATCAGGTGGGCTACCCCTCAATGGGGGTAGGGAGAGTAGAAGAGGTGACTCGAGGAAACGATATAACCACTACTACTATATATCCTTTTCAAACACCACACACAACCCTTTACTCCCTTCTCATCCTTCTTCACCCTTTCCTTCTCTTCTATCTTCCACCATTCTCTCTTCTTTTTCCTGTTTCTCGCTTAACGCTCGTAAATACCACGGTTACTCGAGAGACAGTGTGTTTTTCGATTTTAAATCCAACACGCTTTTGTAAACGTGAATTCTTTTTTCACCTTACCGAAACAATAATACAAATTTATTTTTGATTTACATAATTTAGCATTCTAAAGAAAAACTAAAGATAGAAGGGAGGAAGAGAGAGAGAGAGAGAGAGTAAATTATTAATATTATGCAACATTTTTGCAAATATTCCTACGTAATCAATAGCATGTATAAATATGTTATATCGTTTATTTTTCTCTTTTTATTTCTTTCTCTCGTTTCATTTTAATTTATCTTCCTTACCCCACGTCAATCATTTTCATTTTCTCACGCTCCTTAGCGCTGGCGTGCGAGTATCATTTTTCAACATACTTTTTACCCTTAATAAATGGATCGATAAATTATCCATCCCTCTTCCGTAGGGTGTGATTTTGAGTGTCTGACGTGTACTCAACATCTACCACCTACTCTTGACGTAATATGCAAGAGACAACGAGACAAAGATAGACAGTTTAATCTTGAAAATTAGAATTATGATTACGTAATTGTTTCCAATAGTTCGATTATAAATTTTCAATGACTCGTAGAATGATAGCAACTTGTTCAATTGTGTTCAATGATTACGCGTAGGTAGGTAGGTAGGTAGGTAGGTAGGTAGGTAGTTAGGTACACCTACCTACCCACCTTGCTACATACCAGCGTTACATCGAAATAACACAGATATTGAAAATCAAAACCGTATGTAAATTATCGTGGTCGAATAGAGGGTTAGACAGAGACAGATAGAAAGCAAGAGGGAGAGGAGAGTTCATTAGTACAACTGCCCGCAAATAGCATGTTAGCGAAATATTTGCTGTTAATATTACATCGTTATAAAAGCGATTGAAGCATCCCTCCATTATATTGTCCTGCATCGGTAAACTGTAAAAGCATCTGACCAATTCTGTGGAATATATGGAGAGTTTCACCCTCTTTCTCCCTCTCTCTCTCTCTCTCTCTCTTTTGTTGGTTTGATTTCCAAATACCATTCAACATGTATATGTACATATGTGTGACTGGTTACTTTACTATTTTCATCTCTGTCTCTCTCTCTCTTTCTTTTTCCTATCTCTTTGACTCATTCAATAATTCCTCAAGCAATTAAGCAACCATCGACGACTGGGATTCTTTAACAGAAAAAAACCACTATTTCCATTCCCCTACCTTTCAACCATCCAACAACTCTTCTTTGGCTTTCTCAAGTCCTTCGTTCGACTCGTATCTTTTATTTATTTATGCTAACTCCATCCTCTTTTTACAATCCGCCTCTCGCCATCGAGAAGAAGACCGGCTTTAAAATTTCATATCGAGCCCCTACTCGCGTATTCGCAGTCTCCATATTGATATGTATGGCGCAATGCACTTTACTCTTCTTGGCCCGACCGCTTTTCATTTCCCGAGTTTTACTACGCCGGTGTGTCCCTTCCTTAGCATCCATCCATCCCTTTCCATCCTTCCCTTAGAACCAAGCCAAATGTAAAAACGTCCGGGTACCTGTAGCTACACAGAAAACCCCGCACGCGTGTGTCTTCGCGAAACTCTGTTTCTCTCTCTCTCTCTCTCTCTCTCTCTCTCTCTCTCTCTCTCTCTCACTGATACGCTATATTCTTATCTCTCTTTGTCTTTTTTCCCTATACTCATACCTTAAACCTTCTTCTTCTTCTACTTCTTCACCGTTTTTCTTTTTCCATTTTCTTTCATTCTTTTTATATTTCTTTTTTTTTTCTTTTTTTCCAAGAGGTATTTCCGAATTTACTCTCCTCGTACGTTTTATCTATCTCACGAGTTATATTTCCATGAGTGGATATCAAAGAATAACCATGAAGAGATCGTGAGAAGTTTTACTTTTTTCTTTATTTCTTTTTTTATTATTATTATTATTCCCTTGGCAGATTCACGGAAACATTTGTCACTCCTTGAAAAGTATTATTCTTTAGACTATTCTATAATATTAAATCTTGCAGATAAAAGAAAAGAAAATGGGAGTGAAAGGGGAAAGAGAGAGAGAGAGAGAGGGGGATGGTGCAGAAATACTTAATCAAATTATTAAAATCTATGTTTAGTACAAGCGTTGTTATTAGATAACGAAAAGCGCACATACAGAAAGGAAAATAAAAAAAAAAGGAAAGAAGAACGAAATCTTTGAGACAGCTTGACAAAAGTTAATTAACTAATCCTGGATTCTTACACTCTCTTTCTCTCTTTTGTTCTTGCATTCCCTTTCTTATTCTCTTTCCTTGTACCACGTAGCGTAACGTAATAAATTCCAACAATTTTAGTTTTAGCTATCTCACTCTTTCTTACCATTTCTATTCATTCTCTCTCTTTCTCTTTTCTTTTACCATTTTCCTCATCGTCGTCGTTGTAGTCGTAGTCGTCTTCTCTTCCATCTTACTCTTACTTTAGCACGTTTCTCTCGTAAAATCGCGATTAGTGCGACTCACGTAACGGAAATACGTAATTAGAAAATACACCATTTTTTGTCCTTCCTATTTTAAATTACACGTATATATAAACGATACGTTTTTCTCTCGCTTATACGCAGCGAGAATTTTATTACTCTAACAAGAATATTAAAACAACCTTTGTATACTCGTATTACATCTATAATCATTTTGACCTTGGTAAAGATTAATTTAAGATGAAAAAAAAACCATTTTAAGAAAAATAAATCATCCCATTCTTCGATAATTATTCCTAACTCTCTTTGATTCTTTCTTTTCTCTCCTATCTTTTTCATTTTACCATAGAGAAAATAATTGTAAAAGAAAGAAAGAATAAAGGGGAAAAAGAAAAAATAAAAAAAGAAAGGGAAAACATACGTTCTCCGGTTAACCAATTTTTCATGGTCAAGAATGATGAAACGCTCGAGTCGAGTGAAACGATCGTAGAAGTGTTTGTCGAAAGCAAATTTACAAAGGGCGGAAAAGCTCGAAGGCATACTCACCCTCTTGCCTGAGCAGCACCACCAAGAGTAGAAATGCAAGATCCATTGCTCGGGAGGCGGGGGGTGATTGCCCTCCCTTATTCTCCCTTTCGTGTCCACCGCTACCAACACCGATTCGAATAATTTCTTCTTTTTATATCGTTTTTTTTTTGTTGCCTCCCACCTCTCCCGATTCTCCTCCGTTGTCACCGAAGTTTTTTTCCTCCACCTTTTCCTCCTTCACCCCCTCTTTCACCTTTTTTCCTTCCTCTAGTGTTTTCTTTATTTTCCTTTATTTCTTGTTCTTGTTCCTCTTCTTGTTCCTTCTCTTTTTCCTAATGGAACAAAAACGTGTCGAAGAATAACGATTAAAATAATTTTTATTTGATTTATATTATATAATAGAACATAGTGTGAACGTTGGCTGCTGGGGTTTCTCTCGCTTCTCTACTCTTTCGTTGAACGAACGACTATACGCGATTCGTTCGGGCCGGCGCGTTTGCTAATGAACGCTCGTGTTTCAATTATTTTCCACCCTCCTCTCCTATCGTCCCTTGCCACCCAACCTTGATTATATTTCCGATCGCGACAAGCTGACCAGCCGTCGACGCGCCTATCCGACCGGGGTCACGCACCGAATAGATAGATAGATAGATAGATAGATAGATAGATAGATAGATAGATAGATAATAGATAGTTGAATAGGAAAAGATGAACGAATAGATGACCAAAAGAGAGAAATAGAAATGGAAAAACAAAAAATAGATTTGTTTGACTTGCATACGATTTTTAATTGCTTGTAAAATTCTTTATTTTTGCTCCATCATCTATATTCCATTGGACAATTAATTTATTGAAAATAAAATCATAGAACAATTTAAATAGAATAATATTTATTACTTTATAGAAAGTTTATATATCGTTAAAGTGCGATAAATATTATTACAGGTTAGAAATAAATTTGTGAAAAAAATTGTAACGGTAATTAAATTAAAGATAAATTGAAAGTAAACGTTGATTCGCTCAAGTTTGAATTTTATCCTCTAGTAAAAATGCAACAAGTAATAAGAATTTTTTTACATCTTTCTTTTTCCTTCCCTCCCTCCCCCCCATCTTTCTCTTTCTCTCTTTTACCCTTTTATCTTTGCGCAAAAGTTCACCGTTTTTTTCCATCTCGTTGATTCCTAAGTCTTAACCGCAGCTTTACTTTGCCGCTCGGTGTAAAAAAAAGGAGTAAGAGAGAGGGAGGGAAAGAGAGAGAGAGAAAGAAAAAGGAAAGTAAGAGAAAAAGGGTGGGGAGTAGGGGAAAAAAAGAAGAAGGGAGTAACAGAAACGGTCTACCCCTTCTTCTTCTTCTTCTTCTTTTTCTTCTTCTTTTGCACCCTTTATAAGACCAACCCTTAAGCAAGAATCCTGGCGCGCGTTACGACTCCCGCTTCGTTGCACGCAATTTAACCTCGACAAACGTTTTCCTCGTGTTTTAGACTACCCTATACGTGTATACGCGTATACACGTAAATTTATATACGGTATTCCACCCTCTTATAAGATGTAAGCTCGTGTCTCTTGATAAATTCTATCTTGATTCGGTATAATTAATGTCTCGAATATACATGACGAGTTAGGTAAACCGTATAGTAAAGTGCGTCTTTAACCTTGAAGATGATAACTCGTATATAATTTAAAATTGTTTCAACTTTTCCATCTTCAAATTAACTAACTCGCGATCAAATATATATATATTTCGAAATTTCGTGTTAATTTAGTTTGATGATAAGAAAATAAAAAAGAAAAATATGCTAGAAATTGAAGGTACATATTATAATGAATTAAGATTAAATGATAATGATACTGAAATATCTCAAACGCGAAAGTGTTTCTTCTTTTTATTTTTTTTTTTTTTGTTGCTTTCTTTTCTTTCTTTTTTTTATTTACTTTATACTATATACTCTTTACTTTACTTTATGAAAATAAAATAAAGTCATGGTTTAATCCTCTCGCGTCGTTATCAGTTATACGATCGTAAAGAAGGTATCTCTCTTCGTCTTCGTCTTCGTCCTCGTCCTCGTCCTCGTTTTCGTCTTCGTCTTCGTTTCTTCCTTCCTTCCTTCCTTACTTTTTAAATGCAACCCCTCGGGTTCGTGTATTTTTCACGCAACAGTACACCTTAAGAGTCTTCTTAAGTATCACCTGACACTTTCCTGACTCGACTTTGCTTAAGCTTCTACGTTATATCGTTTTAATCTAAGAATATAGAAACTTGTTACACTTTCCTAACAGTGATCATTTCTCTTTCTATCTTTCCTTTTTTATTTTCTTTTCTTTTTTTTCTCTCTCTCTCTTTTCAAAGGAAATAAAAAAAGTACTTATTATGAAAATGAAAGGAAACGATCATTTAAATACATATTTTTACCTTTTTGATTTTTTTATACTAATTCGTTTTGTTTCGAATTAATTAATTTGCTAATTTATTCAAGATTTGTAAATAAATCTCCTTTATCGAATAAATAAATCAAATAAAATTATAAAAATAATTATTTTTCTAAAATTTTTTCAACACCGATTATAAACTAATTAATCAATTATATTTTACGATTCGTCGAGTATATCTAGTTACAAATATAAAACTATTATTCTCAGAGAAATTGTAACAAATAAAGAAGAACAGAAAAAAAATTTAATTACAATAATTTGGACGAAATAAACGTCCGTGAACCAAAGATAATATATTTTATACGCGTTGAATGGTTCAAATCAAGTTGAATATGAAAGCTTGATTCGCCAAAGTTTTTTTTCTCTCATAAAGAGAGAGAGAGAGAGAGAGTGAAAGACACAGAGACAGGGAGACAGAAAGAGAAAAGAAAGAGTAATAACAGAAAGAAAAAATACGTTTCGAAGAAAGAAAAAGAGATAGAAAGTTGAAAGTACGATGTCGAGAGCCAGTTCCTACGGATTTTAAATGCAACTTGTTGCGATCTCGCTCACTGAGATTCTTCCGTTTGCAAACGTTCTACGTAGAATATATATATACATGTGTTCGTATGTATATTCAAGTGTGTTTTAGTTCGTCTGTACGTATGTTAGTATGTTTGTATATACGTGTGTGTTCTACTCCCCTGTACCCACATGTGAGCTTTTTCACCAGGTTAAAGTATCAGATTTCTACGCGTAAGTAGAATCGAGTGTATGTGTCATCTATAAAACCTATACACAAACACACACAAGTAAACATGTACACGAATCATCTGTCGTCTTTTTGAAACTGATCGATAACTCCTTTTTTTTATGACCAAATTTACAGATATGTATGTATGAGATTTTCGCAGAAGAAACGAGAAATGAGAAAAGGAAAAATTTGCTTTACAAACGAAAAAAAGAAAGAAAGAAAGTAAGTAAGAAAGTAGAATGTCGTAATACGATAAAAGATAAAAGATACGAGTAACATTTTATCGCCTGCATTTCTTCTAACCATTCACACAATCCTCACACACTGCCCCCACCCCCACACTCATATCGTTTCTTTCTGCATTGAAAATTTCACCGATATTTCGAGAGAACTTCGCATGACGTTCGTGATGCGCGTTTTGTTATCACGTATCTAAATCCCCTTTCTCCCCTCCCTCCCCCCTCATTCTCCTTCGCTCAGCGAATAAAAACAAAGTAGAACGATTTTGTAGTTTTCTTGTTAGTTTCTCTTTGAAAAGTGTTTGAACATTTTCAAAGCTTTCTCATCCGTCTATTTCTTTCTTTATCTTTCTTTGATCTTTTTAATGAACGAATGTCCGAGATTTTAGCTTTAATCTATGCAACGAATTACTTATTCTCTCAATTTGTATGGATAACTTGTATGGAATATTTCTACACCTCCCAAAGTATTCGAGTTCTTTGAAATTTTGTATATTTTTCAATGCTAATTCATTTGAACAAAATCACCCATGGGGTATGCTTATTGTATAACATGTATACACTTATACAAAAATACTTATAAATAAGTATTCTTATATATATGCATACAATGCAGGTGCATTTTGCTAAATAAGAAATTTGCGTCGCGTGAACGGAAATCGCTTCGATCGAGACCAATTCTCTTTTTAGTTTTGTTCAGAGAAGAAGGTGGACTCTGTACACTCGTTCATTTATTTATTTCCTGATTTATTTACTTTCTTCAGATCGACCTAACGCACTCATGTATGTGTATGTATATCTGTATGTATATACAAACGATCGATCGAACATTCGAAAAATTCGTTTTCCCTGTTCTTATTTCGCCAAGACACGTCCCAAGACGATCTCCAATTTCTCTCAATGTGACGTAGCTCTTTCTTCTTCTTCTTATTTGATTTTTTGTTTCCCTTTTTTTCTTTTCGACGAACAATAAAAACGAAAGATCGATCGTTGACGTGTGTCTAACATTATTCTTAAATCCTTCAAAAAACCCTTAATAAAAAAAAAATGAATTCTATTTTCTTGTTTCCATTCCCATAAGAAATATCGTGTTCCTATTTATTTACGAAACTCACGTACTTACATGGTCAGATAAACGAGCAGCACGTAAATGATCTACGATCTCTTTTTTTTCTTTAAAAGTTTCCCTAACCGAATATAAAAATCAGATCGAAAATAGGGAGAGAGAGAGAGAGAGAGAGAGAGAGATTTTTTTCCAACTTTGGAAAATGTAATGTCTCGTAAAATTGATGATATTACATTCTTTTAATATTATGACACACGTGAAAGGTAATTTCTAATCGAAACCAAAACCGAACGATCGTCATGAATATTTTACGATCGGTATCCTTGTTGGCTATGACGAAAATCTCGAGTTTAAGCTTACTCTCTCTCTCCCTCTTTCTCTTTTTAACTTACTCTTGAAGAGTATTAGAGATAGGAGTGTTTGTTTATCGCTTGATAACATTACTTTGCCACAAATCCTAACGTTCTCTCAGAATCGAATAAATTAGAATCCGTAATTTCACAAGTATTTTCCATATTCTCGATACGTTTGTCTACCTGTCTACGAGTTCTCGGAATTAATTTATCACGATAGTGATCTGAAACTTTGAGTTCCTCAAAATGACATTAACTTTTCCTATATTACAAAATCGATCGTGTTGAATCATTCCCTCTCCTTTCGATCACTTATCTTTATACTTCAATTTGATTCCATTGTATTTCATCGATCGCAATTATCTGGAATATCTGATTTTACTTTTAATCGACTTTCGTAATTAGTTTGTAAGATCAAATGCGGTTTATCGACACACACACACAGAGATATACATACATTTACACAAAGAGAATTGTTATTTTTATCCTTTAGTCCAACATTTAGTTTTTCATCATTCGATCAATGATTCTATCGCAACACTGGTACACGACTACCTGGCTTTATTCTCAATCCCTTTCTACGGCCTATGTAGAACGGAAGGGCAAAGCTTAGTGCCGCAACGTTTATCAGCAACGCGATCCTTCATTCCGTCGAGTAGAGCTTTTCCGCGTTCCCGAAAGGGATGTAAATCCGTCGATGCGTCCGAATAGACTAATGAATTTAGAATACGTTTCTAACGCTCCAAATTTATCCCTTGGTTACGAAAGATTTGTGTTTATACTCTTTGTCACTGTTTTTCCCCTCTCTCTTTAATTTCTTTTTAATT